CTCTCTCTCTCTCTCTCTCTCTCTCTCACTCTCTCTCACTCTCTCTCACTCTCTCTCTCTCACTCTCACACACCAATGGACAATTTAGTGTTACCAGCCCAACATGCATGTTTTTGGTCTGTGGGAGGAAACCGGAGTACCCAGCGAAAACCCACACAGCACAGAGAAAACATGCAGACTCCACTTAGAAATGTCCCCAGACAGGATTTGAACCATCAACCTTCTGAGTGAGCGTCAACAGCTCTACCAACTGCACCACCATGCTGCCACTTTTTATAAAATGAGTTAGGAATTAATTGTCTGCTCACTGTAATTATTTATGATTTCAAAAACGTCAGTTATCTGAGCGTATTTAATATTTTAATTAAGACTGTTTCCAGACATCCTAATGGCTCAAATGCAAAACAATAGTCTGTATTAAGCGTTATGTTTATGTCTTTACATGTAAATCAAATTTACAGCTTTATCTTAATCCATTTTTAAGTTTCATACGATTGCATGGGGATGTTCTGGTTCTGTTTCTTAAGATAAACTTTTGTAAGACAGCTGTTAATGTAATGTTTTAGCAGGAAATGTATTCATGTCATACATACTGTACTCATGTAAAAAGGTTGCACATGCAATGAATTACGAGTTGACTTACAGGTCAGTGGTGTGTTCAGGGATATGTGTAGGTACTCGAGTCAGTTTGAGATTGGAGCAGTCAACCACTGTGCCTTCACAGCGACATTTCTCTGGACAGACCAGGTCCTGAAAACACTCGCCACTCAGGCGGCTGTGATAGTCCTCCTGACCTGTAAGAGCAAAATAAGTGTAAGAAAAGATCAACCAGACAGAATTCAACAATCTGGGAAGGAGATGGCGATCTACAGGCCCACTGAGGGAAACAGGAAATAACAGAGGAAAAAGAATTTGATCCATCCATCCATTATCTTCCGCTTGTTTTGAAGTCGGGTCGCGGGTGCATCAGCTTGAGCAGGGAGGCCCAGACATCTCTTTCTTCCAGCTCTTCTGGGTGGATTCCAAGGCATTTCCAGGCCAATCGAGAGACACAGTCTCTCCAGCGTGTCCTGGGTCTTCACTGGGGTCTCCTCCCAGTTGGACATGCCCTAAGCTTCTGCCAAGGGAAGCGCCCAGGGGGCATCCTTACCAGATGCCTGAACCACCTCACTGGCTCCTCTTGACGTGGAGTAGTAGCGGTTCTACTCCGAGTCTCTTCCGGATAACTGAACTTCTCATCCTATCTCTTAAGCCCCCAGTATACTCTCGCGTACGTCCATATGCAGAGGTACAACGTACATACGAAGAGGTACGAGCGTACCCCCCAGGGCATGTTCATGCAAAGCTCAATTTTTACGACCGCATACGCGTACGCGGTGTCGCACAATAAACTGCCAGGCGACGGACTGTTTTGTATGCTACACCAATGTGTAGCATACAAACAAATACAACAAAATTCCCCTTCTTCATCCCTGATCTGGCCTTTTCTTTTGTTTTGTTTTTTGCCAAGAGGCAAGTGATCTCTTCCTCCTCTGTTGATGCAATGACTGAAATGGTGAGAAATTAAGGAATTTGTCACGAGCGAATTAAACTCATGTCCAGCGTGGCTGTGGGAGGGTCTGGAGATTTCCTGGTGGGCTGCTCTGATGTATTGGCTGCAGAGCTAGCGCTCCTTGTTTTTTTTTGTTTTGTTTTTTAGATCTTTTTATTAACAACATATAAACACAGAACACCACTGCAACTGGGGCTGCCTGCCCTTGTTTTGTTATTTTTGTGACCTGTCAATCAATCGTAGGTGTGTCAGCAAATGAACATTCGGCAATCTCAATTTGTCCTGAAGGTAAACACCCCTTGCCTACAGAGCTGGGCTGCAGCCCATCAGGGTGTACACTCAAGTATGAAGTCTCAACCGTCTCCAGAAAATTTTTGCAGTGTCCGTGCAGCTCACAGAATGCTTGAGTCTGTGGGAACCTTAATGTCCAAAGCAAACATCATATGGTATTCACTGAAACTTCAGTTTCAAACAATGTGCAGAATTTAAGTACAACCTATATACATATAAGACCTATATCTAATCTAACTTTAATCTCTAATATTCTAGTGAAAAATATTTGCAGGTCAGTTACGTGATCATCTGCAAAGAAATAATCTGTTTGAAAAAATTCAGTCAGGTTTTAGAGCTCACCACAGAATTGAATATGCACTGGTGAAAGTTACTAATGATATTCTCATGGCCTGTGACAATGGACAGGTGTCTACACTGGTCCTGTTAGACGTCAGTGATGCATTTGATACAGATGATCATAATATTATATTACAGAGACTTTAATATGATATTGGAATTACAGGAACAGCTCTAAATTGGTTTAAATCATATTTATCTGATAGATCCAAATTTGTAAATGTAAATAATGAATCTTCATCATACACCAAAACTTGTCATGGAATTCCTCAAGGTTCAGTGCTTGGACCAGTACTCTTTACCTTATATATGCTTCCATTAGGTAATGTTATTAAACAGCAAGGGATAACCTGATGCATGTTCAATAATCCAGGTAGAAAAATCTAAAAAAGTTAAATCTGGTCCTCTGGACATTCAAAAAAACAAAACAAAGCAAAACAACAAAAAATGTAGAAACGTTTCGTCTCTCATCCAAGAGACTTCCTCAGTCTGAGGTGCTGTATTCAGCTCAGTCTCTTAAATAGCACCTTCTCAGAGTGGATCAACCAGTTTTGCTGCTGACAACCAAAACCAGCTGCTCACATGCTCAAGAAGGACCATCAGCCTAACAATGGATCATTAGCACACTGATGGCTGTTTACTACTCACAGAGGGCTGAGTGATACTAGCAATCACAGCATTGTAAGAGGGGGACAGTTGAACCTGGAGGCTCCGCCCCTGTTTAATGATGGACGATTTCTTTTCACAAAGATGGCCTCCTTTACTCCTCTCTCAAACCATTGTTCCTCTCTGTCCAGGATGTGAACATCTTCATCCTTGAAAGAGTGACCGCTGGCCTGGAGATGAGTGTAGACTGCAGAATCCTGGCCTGATGATGTTGATCTTCTGTGCTGGGCCATCCTTTTGGCCAGTGCCTGTTTAGTTTCCCCGATGTAAGACTGATCACAGCCCTCCTCACACTGAACAGCATACACAACATTACTCTGTTTGTGCCAGGGACTGGATCTTTGGGATGAACCAGTCTTTGCCGTAATGTATCTATCTATCTATATATCTGTGGTCAGTAACACATCAACTCTGTGGATAAATACATCAAGTTCACACGAGAATATGTAAAAAATGGCAAGTTGGCTTTCTTGGACTGTGAGGTCTCAGTCTCTGATAGAGGACATTTGCAAACCGAGGTGTACCGCAAACCCACCCACACAGACCAGTATTTGCAGTTTGACTCCCATCACCCTTTGGAGCACAAGTTAGGAGTCATCAGGACTCTGTATCACAGAGCAGACGGCATCCCCACTAGCTCGGGCACCAGGCAGAAGGAGAAATCCTACACAAAACAGGCTGTAGAGCAATGTGGATATCCACTCTGAGAAGGTGCTATTTAAGAGACTGAGCTGAATACAGCTCCTCAGACTGAGGAAGTCTCTCGGATGAGAGACGAAACGTTTCTACATTTTTTGTTGATTTGCTTTGTTTTGTTATTTTGAATGTCCAGAGGACCAGATTTATCTTTTTTAGATTTTATGGACAGAATTTCTAGGTGCAGCCAAGGTGTTAAGGGGATCCATTTTGGTGGCCTTAGGATTGCGCCTCTGATTTTTGCAGATGATGTGGTCTTATTGGCTTCATCAGATCGTGATCTACAGCATTTTCTGGAACAGTTCGCAGCCGAATGCGACGCAGCCGGGATGAAGATCAGTTCCTCCAAATCCGAGGCCATGGTCTTGAGCCGGACAAGGGTAGAGTGCCCTCTCTGGGTGAGGGAGGAGGTCCTACCCCAAGTGGAGGAGTTCAAGTATCTTGGGGTCTTGTTCATGAATGAGGGAAAAGTGAAGTGTGAGATCGATAGGCGGATAGGTGCAGCATCTGCAGTGAAGCAGGCGCTGTACAGTTCTGTCGTGGTGAAGAGAGAGCTGAGTCAAAAGGTGAAGCTCTCAATTTACCGATCGATCTACATTCCTACCCTCATCTATGGTCATAAGCTTTGATTTGTGACCGAAAGAATGAGATCTCGGATACAAGAGGCAGAAATGAGTTTTCTCCGCGGGGTGTCTGGGCTCCCCCTTAGAGATAGGGTGAGAAGCTCGATCATCCGGGAGAGACTCAGAGTAGAGCCGCTGCTTCTCCATGTCGAGAAGAGCCAGTTGAGGTGGCTTGGGCATCTGTTTAGGATGCCTTCTGGACGCCTCCCTGGTGAGGTGTTCCGGACACATCCCAATGGAAGGAGGCCCAGAGGAAGACCCAGGACACGCTGGAGGGACTATATTTCTCGGCTGGCCTGGGAAAGCCTAGGGATTCCCCCGGAAGAGCTGGCCCAAGTGGCTGGGGAGAGGGAAGTCTGGGCCTCCCTACTTAGGCTGCTACCCCCACGACCCGACCCCGGATAAGTGGAAGAAAATGGATGGATGGATGGAAAAATATATCATAAAGAAAATGAAAGAAATTGTCAAATTACAATTGCTTAATCCATAAATTTCAGAAAAAGCTGTGGACTTATTGATGAATAAAACAGAAAATCTGCAGGGAACCAACACTGACAAAGCTGTAAAAAACATGTTAATATTTCACAGAGATATACAGATTTTTGAATCAAGTTGTTATTCTATACAACAATTGTCCTGCAGACCTACAGTGATGTCAACATCAGTCGGAAACATCAAGCAAACGGTCAAAATGGTGAACCTCTAGGTTTTACTCCAAGACGTGTGATTGGCTGGTAGAGGCATGAAGGTGTGTGCTGGGCGGTCCCTGGCGCTTGACGGAACCATGTGATGTCACAATAGGCGGGGCCACATGGTTAGATCAAGCACAAGAGACAGCTGCACGAACCAATCAGAATAAAGGCCCACACAGGAGGAAGGTGTAGCGATATAGAGCTGTACCAATCAGAGAGGGGAGTAGGTTCAAACATGACAGGAGAGGCAACAAACAGCTGCAGATCCACAGAGGAAGGAGTCAGCAGCTGCCCACAAACAGCAGCAATATGGTCACAGGTCCAGAGTACAGAGGTGCAGGGAAAGGTGAGAAGGGCTGAAGCACAGATAACTGCCAGCACCAGCTTTTGGAGAAATGAACCCTGATTACTTCCAACAAATATTACTTATCTGCTTTCTACTGAGTAAATTGAAAATAAAGTTAATGTACATGTTGGTTAGATAGTGTGTCAGCTTTGATCCTGCAAATCATCCTTAAAAAAAGAAATATGAGAGGTGAACGCTGCCAAAGACTCAGTCTTGCAGGCATTCAGTCAATCAGCAGTGATGAAAACATTTAAATTAATTAGAAAAAATAAAAGTTTTCTTTCAAGCATTTTGTATAGATTTCTTGTTTCAACATTAGTTGCTGATGTAGCTATATTTAAATTCAAAATGTTAATAAAAACATTAAATATTCAATCTTTATTTCTACAAGTTAATCTCATTGAGTCATAAGGACTCATTTATAAGAGAGACCTGTTTTAAACAAAGAACACAAGGTACAGACAACAATAAACAGTCATAAAAACATATTTGAAAAGTAAATAAAAGTACTAATATAAAACAAAATAAAAGCATGCTACATTATGAAATGAGGTAAAATAATAAAAACATGAACATGTTTACGTTGGTT